AACATGACATAGCGCAGTCCAACAAAGTTGTGCTTTGAAGTACAGACTATCTCGTTCGAATCAAAGTGATTATCTTAATCAATACTTGAAGAATATAGGTCGTATAACTTAAAATCGGTTTCAATGAAGAAGACGGATTTACTCTATCTTCATCAGTTACTGAATTTTTAAATTATCACATTTCCTATAAATATGAAATCATTCTTTCTTCCTGAATAATATTGTGAATGCTCAGTGTTTTTTACTGTTAGGATATTCATTCAATATCCTAAGAGAATTATTATTGGTCAATTCCTATTGGTTAATTCCAACTAGTCAATTTTATGGTCGTCCTACATATCAATGTCACGTGCTCCAATGTCGTTTATCATTCGTTATCCTGATTGTTAATAGCACTTCAAATGTTGTTTCCTATTGGTCATCTTAACTGTTAATGTCACAGACTTTGATGCTGTTTCGTATTCCACCTAAATGTATAAATATGCATAGACAGGACAGTTGTCATTATTCTTAGTCATAATATGTATGTATTAAAATAATTATAAAAGGAGTATACAACAGAGACATGGTATACATATACATCCAAGATGTCGATGAGTAATTGATTCAAATTATCTAAGTTTCAGAGAAATAATTGACTTTTCTTAGATGAACTGCTTCTTTGTATGTGAAAATCAATACAAAACTAATTGAAGTATTTAAGCTTTTCGTAGAAAAATCTGATCTGACAAACTCTATTAAATAATAAGTTTTATATAGATTAAAATACGAACTAATCCTAATCGAACGGCTAGGAAGTACGAGGAGAATGTTACATTTTAGTACAGAGCCTTCTTACAGTGCATTCCTTCAACCCTGAGAGGGAGATGGAATCCTGGTTAACATCAATAAATTCAATCGATTCGTCAGACTGCACAGCTATTTTCAAATGCCGATGATGAGTAACTGTCTAATTTGTGATATAGACATAGATCTTGTCACGATATATTCGGGATGGCCTCTGAAAAATAATCTTTACTACGGATATGAATTTTATTGTGTATTAAGAATATGTGGAGTTTGTTGAATTTTGATTGGTTTTTGCATGCTTTATTTATCCAATTTTAATCGACTGATGGAGAAGTGAAACAATGAAGGAAATATTTTCTCATTGACGTTGATATTGCCCAGGAATTGAGATGTTAAATTAAATCGTTAATAAAATCATGAACTGAATAATGTTAGACTACTGTTGCAGAATTGGGAGCATTGGACTTCCGTCTCTTCCTAGTATAAGATTCTAAGGAGTGTGCATTCACAAATCCACACATCGTAACCAAACCGAGGAACCTTTTTTTGATGTGTGAACGTTCCCCTCTGGACCAGTGCGCCGGTATTCTAGATGGTGGCAATGTCTAACTTGAATCTGTCCACGATATTACGCAACCATCATTCAATATCTTCGGTGAGTAACTGCCTCACGTCGGATACTGTTGAATGCCAATGGTCGTAGATATCCAATATTTTTCACTAGTGGAACGTTGGACACTTTTGACGGTTCCTAGGAAGGTTCTTCAAAAACCTGATATACTTCCGAAAATCATCGTTCAGTAGAAACTTACCAGTTTTGGAGAAACTACAAACTATGTTACATTGTTTAAGGATAATTCCCAAGTTTGTTTAGTAAGTCTACCTAAGTATGAAGGGTATAGAAATTGTCAAGTTTCATTGAAATCGTGCACCAGACTAAAGTTCCTGAGTTTGATTCCTACTCGCAGGGATGTAGATGCGCCCTGGTGAGAAGTCCAATACTGGAACGAAACGGCTGTTCAGTGCTTGTAATGGTAGTCAAACACTGACCAGTTCATGATTTCAATGGAATTCAATAATCTCCACAATTCTATACTGACAAACTGAAGTGTGTTGAGGCTCTAACGATCACTGAAAGTTAATAACTATCATACAAGGATTTTTACCATATCCCAGGAATTATTATGACTTTCGGTAGCTTGTACCACAGACAAGGTTCAAGTGATATGCTCATCTGACTGTCAAAAGTCAAATATACTGTCAGGCAATTAGTCACATATAGCCTTATGGTTATGAAGAACTTGAAGCGGATGCTTCGGTTGATAACAGACTCTAAACAGTGCTCATGTATAGTGAAATCACAGAATGAATAACGATGAATCATTTGTGAGCTTTCATTGACTTGAATGACAGACATGTGTATATTACGCAAACCTAACCAAGAACTCTGCGTGATTAAAACTGACAAAAACAGACTATGAGTAAGTTTGTGGTGAATCGACAAACGATGATGAAATTAATCTGATCGTAACTTTAAATTTAAAGTCACTAGTTGAAACCACATCAATCAATTCAGTCTACTGTAGTAGGTTTCAAGTGATATGGTGAAACGATTGGGTTGGAACTAGACAAATGTAATTATTCCTTATCTTTTACGAAATCAAAAGGATTGATATTTGTTTGTACTCGTAATTCTTCGATTTGATTTATCTTTTCTGAACAATGTTTGGTTTTTGACGGAGTTCTAACATGTTCATGATGAAATAGATCTCACTAGATAAAATCAGATAATTGTCATGTAACATTGAGAACTGATATGTCAGTCAGTCAACAACGACATAGAAATTCGTACGTACATACGTACATCAGTTCAGGTCGCTTTACAACATTAGCAAAGAGACGTAATTGTCAATTCAAATTTCATAGTGCTAAAGATAGTAGGAGTATTAACTGTAATCAGAGAGATTAGGGTTTGAAGTTGTCATTCAAGAAGTATTATTCAGTAAAATAAATTTAAAAAGCGAAACAAGATCATAAGAGAACACTAATAAGTGATGTACCTGAGTTATTGAAAACGATTTTGAGACATGTCATTCAAGGTCTAAAACCATCGCTTGGTATAGTCTCGCGAACCTTAACCAGGTTGTCGACACCTACCAACATAACTCAGTCCACTTATCAGTGACTTCATGGATTTCTGCCATATTTTGGTCTGACCGACCCTAGCTTTCATCCAACCTATCCCTACATTGCACAGCATAGCTCGACGAGGCTGTCGGTGGTTGGGCATACGTAACACATGTCCCAACCACCTCAATACTTCATCTATTGATCTGTCATCCTTACCTAGTACCCGTTTCCATACAACTGCAGTGCATACTCGGTTGTCCCAAGATACACGAACAGTGCTTCGGAGACATCTATGATCGAAAACCATCAACCTACGAATATCTTCTGCTGTGACTGGCCATGTTTCGCATCCATAAGGTAGGACGCAGCGAACTACTGCACAGTACACTCGCCTACGCCATAAGTAATGCAAGTAAGCAAAAGCTAATCGAGCACTCTGTATCGGTGCTTAGATTTATTCACAAACCAGGCCATCAGCATTGATGAAACTCTCAAGATAAGTGAAGCGGTCAACATGCTCAACTGCTTCACTCCCTATCACTAGAGTTCAGGTGTCGATAAAAGGCAATCATGAAGCATCCTAGCATCTAGGAATCCACTGTAACACCGGAATGACCTGAGTTCAATATCTCATGGGAGTTGTGGTGATGTTCTAATGAAAAATCTTATACTAGGTTTTGAAAAAAGAACTGTTTAGTCCTGCGTGGTTTGCAATAGTACTTCAATTAATATACAATCTGTCATGGATTCAAATTGTTGAAATGAATAATGTAACTCCATTCACCATTCAATACATTAATTTCCACTTATTATGATGTTTTCTTGTGATAACTGTTAGGATATTCACTTAATATTCTAAGAGGATTATTTGTAAGTCTAATTCTATTGGTCAATTCCCATTGGTCATCCTAACTATCAGTGTCACTTCAAATGATGTTTCTTATTGGTCGTCCTAACTATCAATGTCACATACTTCAAATGTTGTTTCCTATTCGACATAACTGTATAATTAAGCATTATCTGTAAAGTTATATGACCCGGATCCTTGCCTTCTTCTGGACTCGGACCTCGTACTTTCTGGATGCTTGTAGAATACAGGTTCTACTTCATATCAAGTCTTCTTCTTTTAAAGGGGTTTGGGACACTCGGATTAGAATAGCTATCGTGTCGCCGAATCATCGATCCTCGCTCTCGTTCACCGACTATGGTGAACTCGTAATAGTTCAAACATATCAAATTGACGTGATCACGTGCATGCATAATAGTAACAATACATTCTAAGCTGTCTATCATTGATTAAATTTCATTATTACTCAGCATGTAAAAATATTTAACGAGTGAATGGAGTTTTTTTTCCCAAAAGAAACACTTCATCTCTTAAATACTGTTGGGGATGTTAGATCCCCAAAAACTCGCTTGTTAAATGCCTTATCTTGGACTTCAGTTTCGCGAGCATGGGCTGATTAGTTGACCCTGAGATTTTATTTCCAACAAGCAAAATCCATGGCTGTGATTGGCTACTGTGTGTTATTTTAGTGTGCTATTTTCATAACTGTCCCAAGGATGTTTCTATGATGTAATAAATAAACGAGATTTGTGTTCCTGGTTGTATAGTGTGATTGCTGGGTGTTTGTAGAATATACTTTCTACGCTTACAAAGCCTTCTACATTCACAGCTTGGGATTCAAGGTAACCTATCTGGAGGCTGGTTCATTGTCTCATTCTAGTTTATCGACTAAGCTGAACTCGTAATTAGCTTTGAAGCGTAGTACCTAGTGGCGAATCCTACAAATACACAATCGAAACAGTTATCACATCATGATTACATTATATTCTGATGTTTTTTAATCTATAGATATATTCATTCGAATGTATTCATTAGGTGGTGGACAAGTTGTAGAACCATTCGACGGACTCACTGAGTCCCAGGTTTGAACCCGGTTGAAACTACATGAAATTCAGTCAACCAGTTACTAGTCCATGTACTTATTTTAAAACACTAAATATACGACGAATCAGTAAGTAGTACTTAGTCAATCCAACTACAAATCGATAAAGATAAAAAAAAAACGGAAAGAAAGCAAGCATACTTCTCTTTCTATGTAAAATGAATGAATTATCTACATATTATTGAAAAAGAAAAATATATATATTCATTATTCTTATTTTTTCGGTCTATAAGTATATGATTTTAAATAAGCTGGAATTGATTCATATAATGCACGTTCAGTTCGTCGTGATATTCGACGTTTTTCAGGCACATTCTTTTCATTAACATTGTTAGGGTTAACGGCATCATTCCCACCAGATGAGGAAGTCATATGTGCAACTAAAGTATTTGATGGTAAATTAATTAAACGTGGATATGGTGTCCCATAGTGTAATGTCAATTCAATTCTTGTTTCAGCTTCTTTAATATAATTCTATTTGAATGAAAACAAAGTATAGTTTTTATAGAGAAGAAGAACAAAACAGTATGAATAAACACTTGAAAATAGTAATAATAATAATAATAATAATAATATTAACAATAACTAATCAATTAATATATACACATTAGAAACCTAAGAGTACTGGATAGCTGTCTCATCCTGGTATGGGACTCATCAGCAGTACTGTAGGGTTCGTCACTAGGTATGCTTGAAGCTATTACGAGTTCACCTTAGTCGATGAACGCGAACGAGACAATGAACCAGCGTCCAGGTAGGATACCTTGAATCCCAAGCTGTGAAAGTAGAAGGCTTTGTAAGCGTAGAAAGTATATTATTCTACAAACATCCAGCAATCACACAATACAATCAAGCATACAACTCTCGTTTATTTATACATCATAGAAACGTCCTTGGGATAGTCACGAAAATAGCACACTAAAGTACACAGCCATAGATTTTCCTGGTGGGAAGTGCGATCTCAAGGTCAACTGATCAGCCCATGATGGCAAACGTAAAAACCAAAATAAGGCATTTAACAAGCGAGTTTTGGGGATCTAACATCCCCAACAAGTGGGTATCCACAACTTCCACTGCCAGTGGAATTCAACCCCTTTTCGGATGTGAAGCAGTGGCTCACTGGAGACAGTGGATAAGGTTATGCAACACCGTGGATTGATTGAAGTTAGACGGATACTGGCTCCGTGATCCAGAAGTCAAGCGTTTGTGCGTAAGATCAAAGGTTGTGGGATTTGATTTATTAGTGTGAGACTCTTCAGTTGTGCGCATCCATGACGACGCACATGGGTATGAAGCAGATACTTGTCGAAGATGGTTGCTCAATATCATGAATTATTCAAAGTTAGACTAATAGTTCGCGCATGAAACGATAGTTCCTGAGTCTGTTTACCACATGTAAATTAATCATGGATATGTACGACTACTGAGGAATCCCATAATCAGACGAAACTGTCATCCAAAGCTTTTGAAATTTCAATCATGATCTAGCTATGATCAGTTCATATTTGCATTGAAATAACTGCTTTGCTACCAAATTAATTTTTCTTGTGAGATTAACATTTTTTCCGATAGTTTGCTATATTGCACTTTTGATTCATCGAATTTCTGTATACTTTTAGACCATATTTTTGTTATTATATGTAAGGAGTTGTACTATATCGTCTATCTGTATTTACTTCTCTTCAAATATCGATTAATTGTTGAAATGTTGTATTCTAGCTGCCACAATCGATTAACGCAACTGAAAACAAAATATTCAGACACAACAATCATTCACTGATATGATGTTGTCTTTCTTTAGTTGCCTAATGTTTATCTTTCAACTTACTCGTATCCAATTAAACATTCTGTATCAAAGAAGAGGGTAACAGTTAGAACATACATTATATTCATTCAAGTGCTGAAGTTGTATTCTGTACTAGTCAAATCAAGTGGTAGAAGAAGTAGACTGGTCAACTGTAAACATCTTAACGTTGTGTTCTGAACAATATGATCAAGTATCAATAAAATGAAATAGGCGCCATATGAGTTTGTTCGGAACAACAATGAACATATTGTACTTAATAAACTGCGCTTACATCAGACAACAAAAATACATTACCCACTTCCCTATCTGAAGGGAAAAAAAATTTTCACCATGACTTCATGCATCTTCATCCGCAACATATATTATTTGTGTAATCCTTGGTCATGCATGAAAGAGCTGTCTTTACAGATGTAGTTGAGAAGTGAAGTTTAATTGGAAGCAATCAGTTGTGTCAGTCAGCCAATCAATTATAACGCAGAACTTCGTACGCACATACGTACATCAGTTCAGGTTGCCATACCATAGGTGTAGGTCAGTCAGTCACTCACTCACTCCCTGTTTAATGATATACAAGACAGATACAACGCAGAACTTCTTACGTAAGTACATCAGTTCAGGTTGCCATACCACATTAGCAGCACACAGAAGCGTAACTGTCAGTTCGAATCCAAGAGTGATAGTGATAGTAGAAATATTAGCAGAAATGAAGAAGATTAGGGAGCAAATATACAATTTGATTCAGTAAGATAAATTTAGAAGGAGAAAGGTAGAGATTATGAGGAATTCAGAAGGTTAGAATAAGAAAGAACACAAAGAATAAATATACCTGCGCCATTGAAAACGATTCTGAGCCACATGTCGTTCAAGATCTCTAACCATCGATTATTATCATCTCGCGGACCCCAATCAGGTAGCCTACATCAACAAACATGACTCAGTCCACTTGTCAGTGATTTCATGCATTTCTGGCATGTTTTGGTTTGACCGCCCCTAGCTTTCTTACTCCTACACTATAAAACATTGCTCGTCGCGGCAGCCACGTAACATATGTCCCAACCACCTCAACTCGTGAAGTTTCAATACTTCATCTATTGATTTGCCATCACTACCTAGAACTCGTTTGCCAACGACAGCATTGTTTACACGGCTGTCCCAGGATATACGAGCAATGCTTCGAAGACACCTATGATCGAAAACCAGTAACCTACGAATATCTACTCTCGCTAGCCATGTTTCACAGCCATAAAGTAAGACGGAGCGAACTACTTCACAGTACACTCGTCCTTTAGTCAGCAAACGGATATCTCGCCTTCGCCATAAGTGACGCAGGTTGGCAAAAGCCAATCGAGGCTTCTGTATCCGAGCTGAGATTTCGTCAGTCACCAGGCCATCAGCACTGATGAGACTCCCAAGATAAGTGAAGCGGTCTACACGTTCGACTACTTCACTCCCTATCACTAGTTCAGGTGCCGATGCAACCCAATCTTGAAGCAACATTTTGCATTTTCAGGGGGAAAACCGCATCCCGAACATGCTTGCATTGTTGCTTAGGGTAGTCAGAAGACTGCATTTTGTCAGCGTCGTTACCAAATAGAACTATGTCATCGGCATATTCTAGGTCCGTAAGCGATTTTTGTGGTAGAAAGTCAACTCCTGAAAATTTAGACGAGGATAAGGTTACATTTAGCAGCATGTCCATGACAACATTAAACAAAAATGGGGAAAGTGGACATCCCTGACGGACACCACTTGAAGTGAAGAATTCCGGTGACAGTTCGCCATAAGCTCTCACTCGACCAGTGGTATTCGAGTAAAGAGCTTGTATAAGGTTAGTGTACTTCTTTGGTACACCTTTGAATGACAGACACTGCCACAGAACCTCACGACCCACTGAGTCAAATGCCGCTTTTAGGTCCAGGAAAACAACTATTGTAGGACATCTAAATGTGTGTCTATGTTCCAGGACCTGTGGTAGGGTGAAGATGTGGTCTATACAGCCACGTCCAGGTCGAAAACCAGACTGGTTTTCTCTAGTCTGCTCTTCACGAGCACTAGTTAGGCGTCTCAGTTTAATGAAGGCTAATAATTTAGAAACTACATTAGTTAGACTGATTCCCCTGTGATTGTCACAAGAAGACTTGTGTCCTTTCTTATAGATTGGGACAATCAGTGAGTGAGACCAGTCAGATGGGATTACGTCCAATTCCCAGATTCTACCTAAGATCTCAGTCAACCTAGTTGCTAAAACTGGACCACCATCCTTAAATATCTCAGGGGTCAGTCTATCAGGACCTGCAGCTCGCCGCCGCTTCAGATTTCCTAACGCTTTCTAAACTTCATAAAGTCTAGGGGGACTTACGTCGACTGAAGATCGTGGGTAACCGAAGAGTGGCTCGAGGCCAGTTGAACTGATCCCTAAAGTGTTCTGCCCATGGGTTCAGTCTCCTGGATATCCTATAAATACAGTGTTAAAAAAGTGAGAGTTCTACTATAAGAACAACAACAACCACAGAAAAATACGACCATCAAACTTACTTCAATTTCTTTCACATCTGTAACATGTGCATTTTGACGAAATAAAATTCTTGCTTCCTCTTTCATATAATCAGCTTCACGTGCTGAATCTTCCGGTAGACCAGAATTTGCTTGCCATGTACGAGCAATACGAAATATTCGACGATATAATGCTAGGATACGTGAACGAGTTTGTGGTGAATTCACAACATTGCTAGCCTATATACATATAATTTGACAATACACACACATATAAAAAAAATCGTTTATACACGTCAGTACTACAGGATGAATTAAACTATGTAATGTAAGCCGACATACATTAGTTTCAATTAAGTAAAAGTTCACTGACACTTGACACAAACAGAGAAAAGAAAGTATATTAATCAAGGCAGTTCAGTTCAACACACAACTTTTGTGTTTATTTAAGGCCAATTTTGAGGATATGAATAGAAATTAGTTTGAATCAAATAAACAGTTGGTTGTTTGTGATCATTGTGATACGATAAAGAGGGAAAAAAAACATTTGATGGTTTGATGTGATAGGGTGTTAGTTTACAGAATTGATAATATCATCAGTCAGTAAGTCAGTCAGGTATAAACGTAGAACTTCGTACGTACATACGTATATCAGTTTAGGCTGCCATACCACATTAGCATAGACACGCAATTGTCAATTCAAATCCCATAGTGTGAGAGATAATAAAAGTATTAGCAGTAATAGAGAAGACTAGGGTTCGAAGAGATTATTCAAGAAGTATAATTCAGTGTAGTAAATTAAGAAAGAGAAAGATAAAGGTGATGAGGAATCCAGAAGATTAGAATTTCATAGCACATAAAGAGTGGATGAACCTGCACCACTGCAAACGATTTTGAGTCATGTCATTCAAGGTCTCTAACCGTCGGTTAGTATCGTCTCGTCATCCCCAACAACCAGGCAGTTTACACTTACCAACCTGACTAAGTCCACCTGTCAGTGACTTCATGGATTTCTGCCATGTTTTGGTCGCCCCTAGCTTTCGTCTAATCTATTCCTACACCACAAAACATCGCTCGTCAAGGCAGTCACCCCATCTAACAGAATATACTATCATTTCTAATTTTTGTCAAGATAATTTCTGACATAAACTAGCTATTAGCTAGAAAATCACTGAGAACAAGATAACAGTTTAAAGTCCCTTGCATTTATATCGATGGCAGTAAGCTCTTAAAAATGTACCGGGACAATATATGGACAACTATTTATGCGTGACTGGTTTCAATAATTTGTTGGACAATAGTATAACGCTTCCAGGTCTAATAAAAAAAGTCACTGCTTATTAGATTAACCCCTAGATATTATTGGATCAGTACGATGCTGGTGATCGAATACATTCTGACGTGGTAGTACTAGCACTCATGAGTAAAATTTTCGAGTTAGTTTTAAGGAGTTAATGTACAGATTTTGGCCCATTTAAATATTACCTTATGTACGGAAGATATAACAGGAAAAGTTACCTCAATAGATTTGAAATATAAAGTTACCAAGCCCATTATTCAGTAATCTTCCCAACAAGCCAATATTTTGCACTCACATTGTCCATTACAAAATTCAACTAATTTAAAATGAGTAGCTAACACCCGAACATTAAATTATAAAACAAATTTACATCTGAATCATGGGACTCTGCTTAGAACCCTTCTAGGGTTTTGCCGGTCCCAAGCCCGGAATAAAGGAGGAGAGTTGAGTGTGGGGTTATAGACCCCATCCCACAGAAAAATAACTTGCTAAAAAAACACTAGCCAAAAAGAAATGATCGGTAGCCTATGCTCCATTAGGGGTAACAGGTGTAAGTAAGTAATGTGAATGAGAAATATCCATTAACTACATTTAAAACTACTGACTATACCGTGGTGATTGCGTCTATCAACTGGCATGAATTCTGTACTTATCATGTTCATCTGGTCACTAACATTCGACATAGATGCCTGCTCTTGTTGACACTGTGATAGTTGGAGGTACAATACATACATAAGTGAAGCGCTGTTAAACACTTCTACGTATACTGCTACTAAGATTGAAAAGTTTTATCAAACTATTTAACCAAGAATGTTCAATACTGAGTCATAATTAATTTTATGCTAGTGGAATTGTTAATGATACACAGTGTCCAAGATATGAACGTGGCAAGAGCTAATCATCTCCTACTTGACTAGAGTAGAAGAGAAAGTCTACTATTTGCCATTTTCTAAATTTATATTCATCCCCTTTTAGAAAATGAATTCATCACTTGACCAATGATAAGTATTCGTCCTTTAGAATATTTCTAATAGTCATCAAATGACCTTTGCCATTCAGCCACTTTTAATTAGCTTTCTCTATGTTAAGAACAATATAATATCGCGGTCAAAAAGATTCTGACCAATTAACTGAATTATTTACTAATTAAACATTTAGCTGAGAACACCAAAAGTGACAATCAACTAACTACTACTATATTTGATTTTTTTGTAGAGAGTATATATACACCGATCAGTCAGTTAGATGCAACGTAGAACTTCGTACGTAAGTACATCAGTTCATGTTGCCATACCACATCAACACAGAGATGTCATTGTCAAATCAAATCAAATAGTAGAAGAGGTAGTAAAGGTGTTCGAAGTAATCTGAGAGGTGAGGATTAGAAGATATGATTCAGTGAGATAAAATTAGAAAGACAAAACTAGAGGTGTTGAAGAATCCAGAAGATTAGCATTTGAGGGAACACAAAGAATAAATACACCGGTGCCATTGCAAACGATTTTGAGCCATGTCGTTCAAGGTCTCTAACCATCGATTATTATCATCTCGCGGACCCCAACCAGGTAGTCGACAAGTACCGAAATGACTCAGTCCACTTGTCAATGACTTCATGGATTTCTGCCATGTTTTGGTTTGGCTGCCCCCTTAACTTTCTTCCAACCTACTCCTACACTGCAAAACATAGCTCGTCGAGCTTTAGACAATTAACAGTTTTCTTTTTGAGTGTGTATGTGTGCGTGTATGAGTTTAATTGTATTCTCATTAGGACCGTTGAATAAATCGTCTAAATATCACCGTGTATACAGTAATATCACGTTTAAGTCTGACCTAATTAGCTAACTAACTGAGAAAAACCAGATTATCATTGATTTCATTTGTATGAGAAAGTAATCAGTGCAATTTATGTGTTTAATCGTTTTGAAAGCAATTAAAACAAACAAACACACAATATCGATTCATTTTGATGTACACAAAAAAAACAATCCGATTTATTTAATTCAGAACAATATCATTATTGAATTTAGGACAGAACAAAACAAAACAAAAAATCACACAGTTCAAGATGTACGTACGTACAATATAGACCGGGTTAGAGTATTCACATTTTTATAGAGTAAAGCTTAGAAAAAAAGAGCTTCTATAAAACACAGTAGAAAGTCAAATAACTTTTGTGTGCTGATTAGAATCCGATAAGAGATACTCAAACTCAGAATAAAATTTACAGTGGAAAATATAACTCTTACCAATCTCTGATCCATGTAAATAAAAAAATATATATATATATTATCGATCAATGTTAGACCGCCATCAGAAACCTGGAATCACTGAACAGTCATTTCGTCCTGGTATGGGACTTGTTAGATACAGGTTCAGATGATAATAATCGATGGTTAGAGTGACGGCTCAAAACCGTTTGCAATGGCGCCGGTGCATTTATTCTTTGTGTTCTCTCGAATCCTAATGTTCTGAAATACTCATCACCTCAGACAAACAAAAACAACGCAGAACTTCGTACATAAGTACATCAGTTCAGGTTGCCATACCACATCAGCACAGAGACGTAGCTGTCAGTTCAAATCTAAGAGTGATAGTGATAGTAGAATTAATAGCAGTAATGGAGAAGATTAGGGAGCGAAGATATTATTCAAGAAGCGGAATCTAGTGAAATAAACTTAAAAACAAAAAGGTAAAGTGACGAAGAATTAAAAGGTTCGGGATTTGAGAGAACACGAAGAATGAATGCACCTGCGCGATTGCACATAATTTTCAGAGATATTGTTCAGGGTCTCTAACCATTGCTCATAACCTCTATCTATTTACCTCACTGAATTATACTTCTTGAATAACATCTTTGAACCCTAATCTCTCTCATTACATCTAATACTTTTACTACCTCTACAACTATGGGATTTGAAGTGACAATTGCTTCTCTGTTCTAATGTGATATGGAAACTTGAACTGATGTACTAACGTGTAATGATCTACGTTGCTGTTGATGATGATGATGAGGTTCAGTGATCCAGAGGTTACGCGTTGGTGCACAAGACCGAAGGTCCTGGGTTCGAACCTAGCGAGTAGCAGGAGTTGTGGATGAGCACTGCTGATGACTAACGATAAGATTTAATGCTTACTGTCTAAAATGTTATAATATTTACTAGTAACATCAACAGTAATCATGAAAATTCTCAGTCAGACAAACACTCAGCCACAACGTAGAACTTCGTACGTACGTAGTACATCAGTTAAAGTTGTCACACCATATTAGCACAGAGACGCAATCGTTAATTCAAACCCCATAATAGTAGAGAACACTAGGGTTCGAAGAAATAATTCAAGTATAGGCCAGTGAAATAAACTTAAAATGTGAAAGATGAAAGTAATGGGGAATTCAGAATACTAGCATTCAAGAGAACATAAAGAATGAATGCACATTCGCCATTACAAACGATTTCGAGCCATGTCATTCAACGTCTATAACTATCGATTACTATCATCTCGCGAACCCCAACCAGGTAATCAACACCTGCCAAAATGACTCAGTCCGCTTGTTAGTGACTTAATGAATTTGTGATATATTTTCATTTGACCTCTCCTAACTTTCTTCCAACCTACTCCCCTACACCACAAAGCATGGCTCTTCAAGATAGTCAGTGGTTAAACATTTGTAACACATATGATGAGGAATCCAGAAATGAGCAATGCTTCCGACACACCTATGATCAATATTAATCAATGTTCAATACACAGTATGCACAAAATTAAAACAAAACAATATACACGAAATAGTTAGTGAAAATGATTCATGTTAAACAAACAATCCAATGAACAGCAACCCCCAGCCACAACAACATGACATCAAATTGAATGAAAAAAGCTATAAGAAGAACACAAATAGAGGAGATAAATTGCCTAACTATTATTTCTTCAAACTTTTATTATCATTATCAGAAAAAAATAAAATAGATTGATTTATCATGAATTAAACTATGTACAATTTTTGTCAATAAGCATAAATTGTTTTTCGCATTAAAACAAAACAAAAAAAGTGCGGCACATACAAATATCAAAATTTTGAAGAAAAAAAAGACAATTGCGTGGTTTGTTTGTTTTACAAGTTTAGGATTATTAGAAAATAAAATTTAAAAAAGAAAGCGGAGACGAAGCAAGAAGAAAATAGAAGGTAGATTGTGGAAAAAAAAACACTGAACACGATCAAGATGATGATGATGATAGGCGACAATAAGAGATGATGGGGCGAGTTATTTTTTTCGGATGAAACCGTTACAAATATGCAAAAATTTATATAGAGGAGAGTGGGGGCAAATAAGTACCACCTACTCAGTCATAATTAATAAAGTTGACAGTAATAATAAGAGTAAGAATAGGCATGATTAATGCGGCGTATAAGGTCAAACGGAGAAATCAACGCTTTCGAGAGAGAGAAAAAACACTCCCCATTGAAAAAATACAATATAAAACAGGTGAATTTAGTGCACCTACAACGGATTGGAATTTTTTCTTAAAGAGCTAAAGAATGGAATATCCAGTGTGTGAGGCAGTCAAGAGCAATGTACACACACACACACACATATCCGTGGTACATTTTTGACAACAAAAAAATTCGTGCATCAGTTAGTTCGTCTTTGAATGTAGAAAAATTACATCATGAAAAAAATAATAATAAAAATTGTAATTTTCGACATAATCAGCCGGTCGTCCCTCAACAACAACAGAAAAAATTACAATTTCTTTGGATTAAAGCTTTACAAATCAATTATTGAAGTAGACAGACAGACAGACAAACACACAGACACACACACAAAGAGAGAGAGACAGACAGACACACAGACAGTAAGCAACACAGGAAAAAATAGCCACAGCATAGCACAGAAGTCAATGTAAAAAAGGAATAAACACTGAAATAAGACCACGAGAAAAAAAACTATGAAGCAACACAGTAAAAAAAATTAATTTCATTTCATTTAAAATGTAATTTCATAGTGTACAATCCCCTTTATGATTGTTTATTATTAATAATAATTTATACACTGCATTCATTATAAAAGCATTTTATAGCATAGGAGGTACGACGGTGGGATGGGGGTGGGGGGAGGAGGAGCAAGGAACACTGGAAAAATAAACCACAACCACAGAAAAAAAACCAAGAGAGAGAGAGAGAATACATTTTAAAAAAAAAGGATTTAAAAATAAACAGAATAAGAAAATTTTAATTTAATACAGATTGTTGACTAGGTAAATCCGGTTGACTTCCAGCACCATTACGTCTTAGCGATATTGAAGAAGAGGATACAGGCGGTGGTAGGTGATGATGGTGGTGATGATGATGAGGATGATGATGACTGTTGGATCCAAGAATGCTAGAACTAGTCGATGAAGAACCAGTACAATCTACACTGATACTTCGTGTACCACGTCGTTCAGCTAAACGATGTGTTACACGTTCTAATGCACGAATCCATTCATCGCGTTCAATCAGAGTGGGTGCAGCCATTTTGTAGACTGTTTGACCTAGAAATATTTTTGCGGAAAAAAACAAACTTATGAATACCAATATTCAAGTATTGACTTTTTTGTTTAGTTTACTTCAATTTAAACAAACAGACAATTGAAAAAGTACTGAATTATTATGACTAAGACACATCTGTTATTAGGAAACGGGTGTTAGGTAAGAATGGCAGATCAACAGACGCAGTAGTGATACTTCATCAGTTGAGGTGGTTGGGACATGTGTTACGTATGCCTAACCACCGACTGCCTCGAAGAGCTTTGTTTTGTAGTGTAGGAATAGGTTGGAAGAAAGTTAGGGGCGGCCAAACCAAAACATGGCAGAAATTCATGAAGTCATTGACTAGTGGACTGAGCCATGTTGGTAATTGTCAACTACCTACCTGGTTGTGGTCCGCGAGATGATAATAATCGATGGTTACAGACCTTGAATGACATGGCTCAAAATCGTTCGCAATGACGCCAGTGCATTTATTCTGTGTGTTCTCTCAAATCCTAATCTTCTGGATTTTTCAACACCTCTAGTTTTGACTTTCTAAACTTTTCTCACTGAATCATACTTCTTGAATAATATCTTCTAATCCTAACCTCTCCGACTACTTCTAATACCTTTACTACCTCTAGTAATATTGGATTTGAATTGACAATTATATCTCTGTGCTAATGTGGTATGACAACATGAACTGATGTACTTAAGTACGAAGTTCTACGTTGCAACTGACTGACTAACTAAGACACATCGACTGAAGAAATCAGTTTGAATTGAAATGGAAATTTTAAGGGTAAACAATTATTTTTTTTCTTTAGAAATTGAGACTATGTTGTAGTGGTCGTTTTCCCTAATACGAAAAATTCTTTTTTCCCGATTTTAATAAGGTTGAAATTGTGATGATATGGAATTTCAGTTTATTGTTGTCAGTTCACTTCTATGTAATGCAATTTCATTCTTTTTACTAAGTTGTTAGAAAAAGAGTACTAGGTAAGGATGGCAGATCAGTTGGTGAAGTGATAAATTTTTATCAGTTATGATGGTTGGGATATATGTGATACGTATGCCTAACCAAAGACTGCTTCGACGAGCTATGTTTTGTGGTGTAGTAGTAGGTTGGAAGAAAGTTAGGAGCGGCCAGGCCAAAAGATGGCACAAATCCATGAAGTCACTGACCAGTGGACTGAGTCATGTTGGTAGATGTACGCTACGTTGCTGGAGTCGGCAAGATGAGAGACCTTAAAACGACAAGGCTCAAAATCGTTTGCGATGGCGCCGGTGCACCCATTCTTTGTGTACTTTCAAATTCTAATCTAAACTTTATACAATCTTCATCTTTCTCGTCACAAATATATTTCACTACATTATACCGTTTGAATAATATCTTGAACCCTAATTTTTCCGATTACTACTCATACTTCTACTACCTCTACTACTATAGGATTTGAACCGACAATTGCATCTCTATGCAATCGTGGTATGGCAACTTGAACTGATGTAAGTACGTACGTACAAAGTCATACGTCGTAAATGACAACTGATTCCGTTTTACAGATGATTAACAAGATCACTTTTTATTAACAAATAAAAATCAACCCTAGTCCCTACGATACTACAGCACCGAGCAATTTATGTACTATGTACTGGATAATCAAAATTCACAATATCTGTCACATGGTATTTGAGAAACTCTTTAACTAGATATGATGTTATTTACATCTCAAGTCTCTCGATACTCTCATCATACACAATGCAGACTAGAACTTAGGTACAGCTTTTCGTTCTCAACAAACAACATGACTATGAGAAAATGTGCTCAACGGTTTTGATGTTGATATGATTATCATCATCATCATCAGTAAACAAGTTTGAATCATCCCACTGTTTGATAATATGCAAGACTGAATAAATTGATTGGTCTTATTTTCTAAATTGCCTCGATAATGATTAATATATCTGATTGACTATGAAAAAAACTCCACCAGTAGAAACTTAGGGGCTACTGCCCGTCCCAAACCCGGATAAAGGAGGAGGGTTGGACATGGGGGTTGGCGAACCCATTCCGTCGAAATCTAACTTGCCAAAAAAAAACGCTAACCAGAAAAAATAATCCGAACCATTTTAACTCTGCCCTGGGAGTTGGAAGAAGAAGAATTATGACCAGAACAGAGTTGGTTGCAGAAAACTGGTGAGCGGCCTATCCATTGGGGGTAACAGGCATAAGTAAGCAAGTAAGACTATGAAACAGTAAACTCAATAATGAATACGTATATTATAGTCAATAAAAAATGTATTACATTTTTGACCATAATATCCAGGGGAAAGAATTGATCGATTAAAAAATGAATTGTTATTCATAATTAACTCATGTTTAAATCACTCAATAACCAGGGAATAATCCATGGTGTATTGACTAACTAACCGCTAACTACTTACTACTGTGGAAATCGATCAGTGAGTGAAATAAGATATTTTTGACATATTTATTGAAATATTAATTGAACGATTATTATTATAATTACTAGAGTGATTTTGTTGTTTTTCGTTGTGAATCAATCCACTACTAGTCGTATTCACCGTGTAGAGAGAGATATAGCCTAAATATAATTGGGCATTAGTTCAAGTTGCCATAACACACACACATTAATACAATGAAATGAAGTAAACACGACGAATGGTAAATACACGTTGAAATCATGAATCAGACATTGTTAGACCATCATTAGAAGCCTAGAAGCACCAGAAGGCCGTTTCATCCTTGTATGGGACTCATCAGTGGCAGTGCGCATCCACGACTCCTGCTACTCGCAGGATTCGAACCCACAACTTTCGGTTTTGCACGCGGACGCCTAAACTCTTGACCTCATGTGAGTAGCGGGAGTCAATCGATCAACAGCAACATAGAACTTCGTACATACGTACTTCAGTTCAAGTTGCCATAACACCAGATTAGCACAGAGATGCAATTGTCAATTCAAATCCCATAGCAGTAGAGGTAGTAAAAATATTAGCAGTAATCGGAGAGATTAAGGTTCAAAGATATTATTCAAAAAGTAGAATCTAGTGAAATAAATGGAAATAAGCGGGAGTCGTGGATGCGCACTGCTGAAGAGTACGATACTAGGACGAAATGGCCGTCCAATGTTCCCAAGGTGCTAATGGTGGTCTAACAATGAGTGATTCATGATTTCTATGTGGTAAAAACAATGATCTCCATAACTCTAACTGAAGCGTATTAAATAGTAAGAGAGATTGAAAGAATAATTGTAATGATAATGATAGCGAGAAAGATAAACAAAACAAGATTAAAAGAGTATGAATATGAAGCAATCAATACTAGAGAACTCAACAGATCTAGAAGATAAGATAAGAAATAAGATTGAATGAATCAGTCAGTCAGTCCACAACGTGGAAGGGTGTTTCTTGAGGGACCTGAAAAGGAAGGTAGATTAGTGTTGGTCTTAACGACCTGAGAGTGTGACCGCAATGTCCAAGGGATAACTGCTCGAGGCCGGTCACACACGGACTTTTTATGAGAGGTTTTTAGAGTAGTAGCTCCGGTGTTGTTTAAAAGCCCTTACCACCGGAGATGGAAATCCGTGAGGTAAGGTGAGGTGTGACATTTTTAGGGTTGACCTTTTCTAACCCTTCTTTCCTTCCTTGAGAGAAGGCAGCATCGCTGCAGATGATGGTTGTCCGAGGGAAACACCTTACTGCTGTCACACCCCTCTACAGTCAGCGGGATGACTCCGTCCTTAGACCTTGAGTAACTACTTTTACTCTCATCATTCTCCAGTCGACCTGCCTGGTATGGTAGAACCTACAGGAACATATATTCCAGCCAATATATCTCAGTTGGGTCATCATGATAGGCAAGCCCGACCACCACGTCAAGGTAACAGCTACGGCCGAGACAATTGGGTCTGAGTTACATTCGAACCAATAATTTTCAACCAGTGATCATCTTTACAAATCCATTTAAGAAATGGACGAGTAATTTTTAAGACAGAAGACAATAGACTGAAAACTATAATATTAGGGTATATATGTGTATGACAAAATGTTTGTGTACACAACTAGTCTACATGTGTGTGTGCATAGCTTCCATGTGAAATAAAAGCACGATTTGAATATGGGTGGTTGAATTCGATCACATCGAATAAATCAGTACTGAAAGTTGATTTCAAAAAAATACCAGAATTTTCGCATAAAACAATTTTTTTATTTATTTAAATAATATATTAGCTTTTTTTTATGCTCTAGACACGTGACAGACACAGACAGACAGACAGATACAACGCAGAACTTCATCGTCGTCGTCTCATCTTTCTCCAATCAACCTGCCTGACATGGTAGAACCTTTAAGAACATATGTTCCAGCCAGTATAGATCGGCTGGGTCGACACGATAGTCAAGCCCGACAAGCACCACGTCAAGGTAGCAGCTAAGGTCGGGTTAAATACGTGAGATAGTATTTGTTTCGAAAAAAAAACTACACCTACATGTGTTAACATCAATTTAGTTAGCGTGAATGAACAACTAACTAGGTTGATTAGAGAGTAAGCAGACTTGTGTAAAAGAAAAAAACATTGATCACGTTCCTTGATTCAACTTTGAACTTCTACATCGATTATAACAAGCTAATAACAATCATCTTTAATTACCAATTCGATTTGCGAAAATTTCAACCGATACACACACATATGTGTATCACATGTTGATCTCATGTTGATTATTATAACTATAATTGACAAATCAAAACCATCATCCATCAAGTGGCTGAGTGAGTGGTGTTAATTAAGGGTCGCGCACTTATCGTAACACCAATAGTTGGAAATATGAAGTGATATTTGATATGCTCTTTGTTGTAACGCTTGCTTATATAATTCCCGGCTAAATCCTATTGCTTAGTATTCTCTGACCACACAATACACTGCACAAGTTCCAAAGAATCAGAAACACGGTTGAACAGGAAAAGATCATATTCCAAATAGCAAGGTTAAATGGAAATAAGAAGCCAAGGGTGATGGCGAAGGCGAAGGCCAAAAATATATACAACGTTAGTTTATTTATAGCATTTACATGAGAAGCTTCTGGATAGAAATTCACGTGATCGACTGGATTAGATTTAGCCAATCACCATGCAGCCAACAGCACGAGAATTTTCCACCCTGTTCTCCAAGAATCGATCAGGCGCTGATTGGATAGGAAATTAGCCAATCAGCGCGTAGCATGTTTTAATTCCATCTATGTCCCACTAACACTCTTACAACATTGTATAAGCTTAATCTTTTCTATCAATGGTGATACTATCAGTACTAACTAGTACTACCACTACTACACTGACATTTACATGAATAATTTCCTATTGCTATGTGGTGAATGTGGTTTGGTAACTAGGGTTGATGGATATAGTCAGTGCCCCCGTTGAAGGCCGATCTAATGACTGACAACTTGAAATAACTAGAGTAAATTCTAAATCAAGAAACTAATCATAATAGTTGCAAAATTTAGTCTGTCTACAATGTTGGGACCATCTAATTTATTTTAATAACACACTTTTGCGGATAAACTAAAATCTTCAATTTAAGCTCCATGTAGAATAAGTGGGATTTAAATTGTTTGTTTGATATAGTACTCAGCCAATCAGTCAGTCAGTAACAACGTAGAACTTCGTACATGAGTACATGAGTTTAGGCCCGACCGAAGCTGCTACCTTGACGTGGTGGTCGGGCTTGACTATCGTGATGACACAACCGAGCCATATTGACTGGAACTTATGTTCCTCAATGTTCTACCATGCCGGGCAGGTCGATTGGAGAACGATGAGACTAAAAGCAGCTACACAAGGTCTGAGGGCGAAGCCGTACTGCTGACTGCAGAGGGGTGTGAGAGCAGTAAGGTGTTTCCCTTGGACAACCAGCATCTGCAGCGATGCTGCCTTCTCACAAGGAAGAAAGGGTTAGAAAATGTCGACCATAAAAATGTCACACCTCACGGATTTCCGTCTCCGGCGGTAAGGGTGCCCACTAAGGACCTTTAAGAGCGGAGCTAATCCTCAAAAAACCTTCAATAAAAAGGCCGTGCTTGACCGGCCTCAAGCAGTTGTCCCTTGGGCTCTGCGGTCATGCACCCAGGTCTCCAAGACCAACACTAATCTATCTTCCTTTTCAGGTCCCTCAAGAAACAACCTTCCACGGTGTGGGCAGCCGGGAAGTGACAATCGCTTTCATACCCGTAATAGCACTGACTGACATGAGTTTAGGTTGCCATACCACATCAGCACAGAGATACAATTGTCAATTCAAATCCAGTAGTAGTAGAGGTAGTAGAAGTATTAGCAGTAATGGAGAAGATTAGGGTTTGAAGATATTATTCAAGAAGTATAATTGTTCATCCAATTCATCCAATGTCCTAAGAGAATTGTTTGTAAGTCTAGTTCTATTGGTTAATTCCTACTGATCAATATTATGGTCGTTCTAACTGTCATTGTCAAATACTTCGATGTTGTTTCCTATTGGTCGTCCTAAATATCAATGTCACTTCAAATGTTGTTCTCTAATGACCGTTCTACCTACTAATGTCACAGACTTCAATGTTGGTTCCTATTCGATCTAAATGTATAAATACGCATTATCTGTAACGTTTTATGGCCCGGACCCGGACCTCGTACTTTGTGGATGATTATAGAATACACGTTCTACTTCATATCAAGTCTTCTTCTTTAACTCAGTCGGGCTGTTTGGGAAACTCGGATTATATTACCCTGTTGTGTCGCCGGATCATCGATCTTCGCTCTCATTTTCCGACTAAGGTAAACTCGTAATAGTTCAACCATATCAATTGACGTGTTTACGTGCATCCATAACAATAATTCAATGAGATATCTTTAGAAAGAGAAAGATAAGGAATTCAAAAGGTTAGAATTTAAGGGAACACAAAGAATGGATTCACCAGTGCCATTGCAAACGATTTTCAACCAAGGTCTCAAACCATCGATTACCACCATCACGCGAACCCCAACCAGATAGCCTACATCTACCAACATGATTCAGTCCACTTGTCAATGACTTCATGGACTTGTGCCATGTTTTGGTTTGGCCAACCCTAACTTTCTTCCAACCCTACTCATATACCACAAAACATCACTCGTCGAAACAATCGATGGTTAGGCATACGTAACACATGTTCCCAACCACCTCAACTGATGAACAACATTCACTACTTCATCAATTGACCTGCCACCGTTACCTGATGTAGTACTAATCAGATAAAACAACAATACCAACGGATATTCTTGCTTCCAGCTTCTTCATTCTCCAACTTCATTCAATTGAAAAGCCAGTTCAATATGCTTCAGATTAGATATAGTTATAGTATTCAAGAAAAACACACACATATTATAAACAAATATACATATATATATATATATATATATATATATATATATACATATATATATATATACATATTACTATAACTATTAATGATTACTTGTAGTTGATTCACGTTCAATTTTATACGATTTCATCAATTGATTACGTGAACAATATAATTCAAAACAATATTCTCTTGTTTTATCATGTATTAATCGAATATTCATGCCTTCCAATAAGATGACACCTTTAGTTTGACGTGAACGCTAGATAACACAATATACAATATAAATAATAAAACAATAAAACACACACAATCAGATGAAAAGCAAAGTTGAACATGATAAAGAGAGATTTGATGAGAATGTTAAAAATAAGCGTAGATAGTTTGAAAATGTCGATTGATTATTGATCATTCATTCAGTAGTGAACAATGTGTCAGGTTTGTTGATCGGATTTTATGCATCAAGTTTTAAGGATGTCGTCAGTGGTTTCAATGATTTGACATTGTGTGCACTAATGCTGAAATGTTTTAAGTAGTTTTTGCAGAAAGTAACGGATGGAACACTGGACTAGTGTCAGAAAGGAATACCTCAGGGGAATTATGTATGCCTAGCATCTCAACAGAATTCATGAGATGTTAAGTCACCTAGACTAATGCACACACTATAACTTGATTGACAGAATAACAACCAAACACTTAGACGACTAGATAAATACGAAACTGGTCACTATTCAGTGATTCATCGATATATCTTAATCTAATAGGTTAGTCGCGTCTCGAATAGCTCAGTGACAGACAGACAGACAGACAGATACAATGCAGAACTTCGTACATAAGTACATCAGTTCAGGTTGCCATACCATGTCAGCACAGAGACGCAACTGTCAGTTCAAATCCAAGAGTGATAGTGATAATAGAAGTATTAGCAGTAATGGAGAAGATTAGGGAGCGAAGATATGATTCGAAAAGTATATGATTTGAGAAGTATAATTTAGTAAAATAAATTTAGAAGGAGAAAGATAGAGATGATGAGGAATTCAGAAGGTTAGAATTAAAAAGGACACAAAGAGTGGATGCACCTGCGCCAGTGCAAACGATTCTGAGACATGTCGTTCAAGATCTCTAACCATTGGTGACTTTCGTCTCGCGGACCTCAACCAAGTAGCCTACATCTACCAACATGACTCAGTCCACTTGTCAGTGACTTCATGGATTTCTGCCATGTTCTGGTTTGGCCGCCCCTAGCTTTCTTCCAACCTACTCCGACAATAGCTTAGTGATGATGTCCCAGAATATGCAGTTGAATGACCCAGGGTTCCAGTCCAGCAGGGAATATCAGTCCCGTCAAGATCGCACACACACCTTGCTGACAATTATTAGTCCAAAACAAAACTAACCAGGTTAAACTAACTAATTCTAGTTAATCTGAAAAGTTCACAACGAATATCAATCAAAATCATACAAAACATAGTGGTTCAGTGCAGAAATCTAGGCAATTTTTTTTCACAGACTTAATTTCTTAACAATGAATAGTTAAAGTGGCACTTGGGATATCTGCCAACTAAAAACGGCTTATAAACAAGTATGAATGTGTCCAACTCTACTCCTATAAGGGTCAAACACATAGACTAGTTCCTTGTAAACATGGTAAATGGAAGTTGAGCGTTCAATAATAACACGAGCGAACAAAATTAGATAACAAACATACCAAAAAAAAGTGTTATTTTTTTATTTCGAAAAATGAATCATTGAGAAATCAAAAGAAATATCGATCAAAAGAGTGTTACAGAAAAACTAGATCAAAATAAATGAGATCAAGAAAGTGCACTGTTTAGTTTGATCAATTTGAATACTAAAACAACAATAACAAAGAGCATAGAAACTTAGCAATTTGTTACTTGTCTTCACCTCACATAAAAAAACTATCATATACGCGTAGTCTAGGTGGTTGGTTAGTAAGTACACCTTCTGGTAGATATCAGCAGTTACTACAAAAGTTAGACGAAGATTATCATCTCTAAAAATAATGTATATGACAAAGTTGGCGTTCACAGGTCAATCATCACATAGACTTAGGCGCGCTCCCCACAAATTCGACGAGCTAATTGAATATCTTTCGGCATGATGGTGACACGCTTAGCATGGATTGTACACAAATTGGTGTCTTCAAAAACACCAACAAGATATGCCTCGTTGGCCTCTTGCAGGGCGGAAACTGCAGAACTTTGGAATCGTAAGTCGGTCTTAAAATCTTGAGCAATTTCGCGGACCAAGCGTTGGAATGGCAATTTGCGGATAAGTAGTTCTGTCGATTTCTGGTAGCGACGAATCTCACGGAGAGCAACGGTCCCTGGGCAATAGCGATGGGGCTTCTTGACACCTCCAGTCGCTGGGGCACTCTTACGAGCTGCCTTTGTAGCTAGCTGCTTCCTGGGAGCCTTACCACCAGTACTCTTACGAGCTGTCTGTTTGGTACGTGCTATAAGTGTGAACTGTGAAAGTTGATTCCGATGACAATTTACCAAATGCTTAGGAGTTCACTAGTAGACGTTGAAGTATAAGAAAAACTTTACGAAGCGGATGTAATTATTTAGTATGCCTATCAGTCACAGACACTGTCATAGAACCTGTCGGTTAGTGAAGTTGAATGATGCTATACGATTGAGAAATACCATCATGGTTGGTTGGTATGTGTATTTCATGTTCTAGAATCTAGAGAAGGGTGGTCGGTAAAACCACGTGGAGTTCTGAAACTAGCTCACTTTTTCAGGATTCATTCTTCATGAACTTTATATTATTCTTGTCACTTGATATGCTTGAAACTATTACGAGTTCACCTTAGTCGATAAACGAGAACAAGACAATGAACCAGTGGTGACACGATAGGCTACTCCGATCCGTTGACCCAACTAACTCAAGAAAAAGTCTTGATGTAGAGTAGAAAGTGTATTCTACAAACACCCAGAGAGCACAATCGTCTCAAGCACACAAATTGCGTTTATTTAAACATCATAGTAAAGTCCTTGGGACAGTCACAAAAATAGCACACTAAAATAACACATCGACCAATCACAGCCAAGGATTTTACAGGTGGGAAATGTAATCACAAGGTCAATTGATCAGCCCATAAATAAAATCTAAATTAAAGGCCTTTACCAAGTGAGTTCTGGGGATCTAACTTGCCCAACACTTTCGTAAAGCGTAGTATGATTACGTCCACATTGTATGCCTCCTAGAAGCGTAATAGATAAATATGTACTCAGTTAACCTAATCATATAGCTACTATTATTAAGGCATGCACTGATTTTTTTGCAAAACACCAACATTATTTATTCATTGACGCAAGGTTAGATCATTTCAGATTGTCATAAAATTAACAGAAAGTTGTCATTATCACACACACAAAAGCACACACACGAGCACACACTACAGACACACACACACAAACAGTTTCTCATGAAACAATGAATATCAACGTGCTGGAAGATATTTGTTTTCACCAGTTACGTAATAGATAACCTATTATTGATTCTGATGTAACAGGAGGGTGGTGATCAATAAACTTACCTTTCAAGTGTTTCTAATTCAGAAGATGGATGATAACAAGGAATAATTATACTTTCGCATATGAATGATGCACAGTAAACATGTATAAATAGAGTTGAATATCAGTATGCAGTCAGTTAGTTGATTGTCATTAATGTGGAGCCTGGTATAGGTGTGTGTCTGTGTCTGTGTGTGTGTTTCGATGACACAATAAGGTTAGCTAGGGGATAATAATATGTAATTTGAAGGTAGATCTTCTACAGAGTGATTGAAATGTTTCGCCTATCTATCGGTCTAGATGATTTCACAAACAGCTTGAATATTTAATATCAATAAAACTCAACAATCTCCACAACCTTATTATAATGACAATTTTTTTAGTAGTTGTCTCCTTAATGAGTCTGAATAGTTTTCTGGTATTAGATATACTTATATTGAGCATTCGATAAAAAAGTTATTCTTTATTCCGAGTTATAAACTTACTCAGACGAGGGATATTTACCGTTTGTCAAATTCGCGTACATCTTTGTAATCGTACAGATAAATTTGGTTTACCTTTTTTTACCCTGTATATGTTTTCATTAACAGCTGTAAATTGTCGCTCAAACTATTGAACGGCATGTAGTGTTTGAAAGAACGGATTAGTTGGTATACGAACAACACACAAATACAATACAACTGCATTGCTCACGTTATCTTGTAACTAACTACTTTAGAGTGATGAGAGTAATGTTTGAGATTAGAATGGAGAGTGCTAGTGAAATGTGACGTAGCCGAAGAAATAAGTAATAAACCAGGATTATGAATTATAATAAAAAGGGGTAATAATATTAGAAATAATTTATATAGTACTTACATCAGGAGTAAGATAATATAAGAGACTATCTTCTGTCAGGACAAACCATCGTCTTTTCCAACTTTTAACTCGACCACCTAATATATAACAGAAATATATACACATGCTAAGTCCAAGATAAATCAACTTAATAACACATTACATCATGATCACCATCATCAACAACAGTAACGTATAAGTTTACACGTAAGTACATCAGTTCATGTTGCCATAATACATTAGCACACAGATATAATAGTCCATTCAAATCCAATAGTAGTAGCGATAGTGAAAGTATTAGAAGTAATTGGAGAGATTACGGTTCGAAGATGTTATTCAAGAAGTTTAATTCAGTGAGGTAAATTTGGAAAGAGAAAGATAGAGGTGATGAGGAATCAAAATTTTAGGATTTGAGAGTACACAAAGAGTAAATGAACCTGAGCAATTGCAAACGGTTATGAGACATGTCATTCAGGGTCTCTAACCATCGGTTACTATCATCTCGTGGACCCCAACCAGGTAGTCTACATCTACCAACATGACTCAGTCCAATTGTCAATGACTTCATGGATTTCTGTCATGTTTTGGTTTGGCAGCCTCTAGCTTTCTTCCAACCTACTCCGACACTACAAAACAAAGCTCGACGAGGCAGTCGGTGGTTAGGCATACGCAACACATATTCCCAACCACCTCAACTGATGAAGTTTCAATACTTCATCTACTGATCTGCCATTCTTACCTAGCATCCGTTTCCTAACGACAGCATTGCTTACTCGGTTGTCCCACGGTATACGAGCAATGCCTCTTAAACATCTATGATCGAATACTAGTAACCTACGAACATCTTTTACTCTTAACGGCCATGTTTCACAGCCATAAAGTAGGACGGAGTGGGCTGCTGAGCAGTAGAATTGTCCTTTGGTCAGCAAATGGATATCTCGCCTAAGCCATAAGTGACGCAAGTTAGCAAAAGCCAATTGAGCCTTCTGTACCCGTGATGAAATTTCGTCAAGCAACAAGCTATCAGCACTGATGAGAGTCCCGAGATAAGTAAAGCGGTCAACAGGCTCAACCGCTTCACTTTCTATCACTAGTTCAGGTGCCGATGAGACCCAATCCTGAAGCAAAATCTTGCATTTCGAGGGGGAAAACCGCATCCCGAACATGCTTGGATTGTTGCTTAGGGTAGTTAGAAGACTCTGCATTTTTTCAGCGTCTTCACCAAGTAGGACAATGTCATTGGCATATTCTAAGTCAACCAGTAAATCTCCTGATAGAAGTTCTACTCCTGAAAATTCAGACGAACATAATGTTATATCTAGCAGCATGTCTACGACAAGATTGAACAGGAATGGGAAAATGGACATCCATGACGGACACCACTTGAAGTAAAGAATTCCGATGACAGTTCGTCATAAGCTCTAACCTGTAGTGTCTGAGTAGAGAGCTTGTACAAGGTTAATGTACTTCTTCGGTATATATCAGTGTCCATGAAGTCACCAATGTATATCCAACTAAGTTTTGATTACGAGATAAATCAATGAAAGTTGACAAAACAATTCGTATCATACACATTGAAATCATCAATCAATCAGTCAATCAATCAATCAATCATTGTTAGATCACAATTAGAAACCCACAAGCACTGGACGGCCGTTTCGTCCTAGTATGGGACTCATCAATAGCAGTGCGCTTCCATAACTCCTGCTACCCACACAGGATCCGAACCCAGGACCTTCGGTCTTGCGTGCGAACGCCTGAACTCTGGACCATTGAGCCGGCCGGCATACAACGGTGTTAATGTCTAACTCTGATCAATCTAGTGATTTTGCGCGACCTCACCTATTATTTGTCTTTGGTAGTTACTGCCTACAACCGACAGGGTTGAACTCCACTCGTCACGTCTTCTCATTAGAACTCCGAGAATTTCTTCACGAAGCTAGTCACTAGTGAGCACATATGATTGATGATTGCAATGTGTAAAAACACTAATCTTCATAACTCTAATTGAAAATTCGCACTATGATTGTAATCAGTGATTGCAACCAGTGTCGATGTTGTGGTGCCTTCCTTATTTCACATTCGACAACAATAACAACAACAACAACAAAATGTATTCAAAATTTACCAAGTTTCCATAACCATCCTTTATGAATTCCATTATGTTGATTAGAACCGCATACAGATGTATCATCAGAAATTGCACGAAGTGGTTCATTTTTAATAGCACGATAAATTTTCTATAAAAAAGAAAGAAAATTACAGAGTAGCAAAAACTCAGTCAGTCAATCAGTCAGATGCAACGTAGAACTTCGTACGTAAGTACATCAGTTCATGTTGCCATACCACATCAGCACACAGATGTCATTGTCAATTCAAATCCCATAGTAGTAGAAGAGGTAGTAAAGGTATTAGAAGTAATCGGAGATGTTAGGATTAGAAGATGTTATTCAAGAAGTATGATTCAGTGAGATAAGTTTAGAAAGACAAAACTAGAGGTGTTGAATAACCCAGAAGATTAGCATTTGAGAGAACACAGAGAATAAATGCACCGGCGCCATTGCAGACGGTATTGAACCACGTCATTCAGGGTCTCTAACCATCCATTATTATCGTCTCGTGGACCCCAACCAGTTAGTCGAAAACTACCGACATGACTCAGTCCATTTGTCAATAACTTCATAGATTGCTGCCATGTTTTGGTTTGGCCACCACTAGTTTTCTTCCAACCTATTCCTACACTACAAAACAAAGCTCATCGAGGCAGTCGGTGGTTAGACATACGCAGCACATGCCCCAACCAACTCAACTGATCAAGTTTCATTATTTCATCTATTTATCTGCCATTCTTACCTAGCACCCGTTTCCTAATAACAGCGTTGCTCACTCGGTTGTCCCACGATATACCAGCAGTGCTTCGAAGACACCTATGATCGAAAACCAGTAACCTACGAATATCTTCTACTCTCACTGGCCATGTTTCACAGCCATAAAGTAAGAGGGAATAGCAGAAACTACTAGGAAAGAAATAAAGACTAAGATATTGAGGTTGTTAGATCCCTGGAACTCACTAGGGAAAAGGTGCTAATTTTAAATTTTTCTTTTTATGTTTTCGCGCGTAAGCTACTCAGTTGACCTTAAGATTACATTTCTCATTGGCTGATGGATTATGTTAGTAGGCTATTTTTTGGCTCTCTCAAGGGCGCATATTTAAATAAGCTCGATTCATGTGCTTGAAGAATACATTTTCTGCGTTTTATCAAGACTTTTTTGATATATTTTTATCCGGGCCGGGGACAACGGATTAGAATAGCCTATCGTGTTACCGAGTCATTTATCTGCGCTCCGTTTACCGAGTAAGGTAAACTCCTAACAGTTCAAGCATATCAATTGACGAGCATATTATAAGACTCCCGACCGAAGCTGCTACCTTGACATGGTGGTCGGGCTTGCCTATCGTGATGACCCAACCGAGCTATACTGGCTGGAACACATGTTCCTGCAGGTCCTACCATGCCAGGCAGGTCGATTGGAGAACGATCAGACTAAAAGCAGCTACCCAAGGTCTGAGGGCGAAGTCGTACTGCTGACTGCAGAGGGGTGTGAGAGCAGTAAGGTGTTTCCCTCGGACAACCAGCATCTGCAGCGATGCTGCCTTCTCACAAGGAAGGAAGGGTTAGAAAAGGTCGGCCCTAAAAATGTCACACCTCCCCTACCTCACGGATTTCCGTCTCCTTGGGTAAGGGTGCCCACTAAGGGCCTTTAAGAACGGAGCTAATTCTCAAAATACCTTTCATAAAAAGGCCGTGCGTGACCGGCCTCAAGCAGTTGTCCCTTGGGCTCTGCGGTCACGCACCAACACTAATCCATCTTCCTTTTCAGGTTCGTCAAGAAAAAACCTTCCACGGTGTGGGCAGCCGGG